CCATCTGAGGAGGACATTAGTTGAGTTATTGCACCATGATCAAGTCTAGAAGCTCTTTCCTGCTTGCATCTAATGCATGCCCAGGTAACCATTAATGCTTTCTCCCAAAACTTGCCATCTTGTTCCCAAGCCATATTTGAGGCAGCCTAAAGCTGCCTTTAACTATTCCAGTAATAAAATAGGGTATCTTCCTTTAATGAGCCAATATTCTACAGCAATTTTACCATGTTAGAGTTCGACAAAATTTACCATTTTGTTTATGGCACTGTCAGGTGATCCTTAGGGAAAAGGCATCTGCACAGAATCTTTTGGCCATTTTTGACTGGTTGTGGTCCTGGGGACTTTCTTCCATGGTTTCAAACTTGGCTGTCTCCCTTTACACATAGGTGTACAAACCTAGATCAATCTGAACAGAGGCAGGTGGGTGGTAGATGGAGAAGAGGATACATGCTGGAATAGGACAGAATGAGATGGATTTCTCTCTCTGCTGCTGCTTTATGGTGTAACTCTGGCCCCATTTAGGGTGCCTGCTAGGTGCTATTTTGAGCACAGCATTAAACTATGTTCAAAAAGCAGCCTGAACAATACTTGAGGAGTTGGATGTGGGATTGTACAATGAAGCACCAGAGAAAGGGGTTGCTTATGCATGTTCGTTCCCTGTCAACCGTTGTTGAAGCTGCTCTTAGCACCAGTTTCGCACTCTTCCAGAAAAATATTAAATAGAACCCAGATACCCAATGGGTTGCTGTTTGCACAGCAAACGGAATGAGGGAGTATTAAATACCTTATTTTTCTTTCAGCCTCTGAAGCACAGTTAAAGTTAATTCTAAAACATAAACAGAAATATATAATGTTTTGGAGAGGTATGTACTTTAATAAGTTTCACAGTATCCCACCCAGAAAATGAAAGGCAACATAAAGCAATAACCACAGCAACACTATAATTATTCCTACTGCTCTTGGAGAACTTCCAAAGCCTAAAATTAAGCATCCTCCAGAAGCATTAACATACAATTTCCGGAATGGATTACTATTCTGGGCCTAAGAGAGAGTTTTAAATATGTTTTCATTGATTTATTTGACTCCTATCCTATAGTCCATAGAAGGAGTTTGGAATGGTATTTTACTTTGGCAGAAATTCCACAAGAATGCTGAAGTGAATGAAAGAAGGGCATATACTATCCTAGTTGGCATTTGGTTTGGTGGCAGCAATGCCTCAGATAGAAAGTCCATACAGAGAGTGGTAAGGACAGCCAAGAAGATTATAGGAAGCTCGTTATTCTAGGAAACTGTTATTCAGAATACTGCTTATAAGTGCTATGTGCTTAGTTTGAAGCATCATCAGAGACCCCACACATTCACTTTATGGTCTGTTTCTGTTACTCCCCACTGGGAAGAGGTTTTGCAGTGTTTCTAGCAGGACTACCAGGTTCTGTAACAGCTTTGTTTCCTATGCCATCTGTCTGGTAAACTGGCAAGATTCATTTTTCTCATCATGTACACCCAAACTAGACTGTATTGTTTCTCCGTGTCATATAATATATGCGGGTATAAGCATAAATGTATTTATTTATTTAGTCATTTATTTTTTGTCATGTTTGTCATGTTTATGTAGTGTATATTAGAGGTGGAAACCCTTTGAGAGCCCATATGCAACAAAATTTCATTTTAATGTGTTGATTAGTGCACATTCAAAGTGACAATAAAGTTAAAGTTCTGCTATTCTATTCTATCCTGTCCTGTCCTGTCCTGTCCTATCCTGTCCTATCCTATCCTATCCTATCCTATCCTATCCTATCCTATCCTATCCTATCCTATTCTATTCTCCTTTAACTCAGACCAAACTTACTTTGTTTGTTTATTTCTTTATTATTATTATGTGTCCTGCCCTATGGAGTCTTCTAAAGGAACAGTTCTATTATTGTAAATGTGCCCTGGAAAAACATTGCCCTATCAAAATGCTGAGTTGTGATATTTAGGAATGTATAGGTACTCCTTGACTTACAACAGTTCATTTAGTGACCGTTCAAACAACCCTGAAAAAAGTGACATGACTTTCACACTAACAACCATTGCAGCGTCCCCAGGTCGTGGATCAAAATTAGACACTTGGCAACTGACTCATAGTTATGACACTTGCAGTGTCCCGGGATCATATGTTCACTATTTGTGACCTTCTGATGAGTAAAGTCAATGGGGGAAGCCAGATCCACCGTGTTACTAACTTAACAACTGTGGCAAGAAAGTTTGTAAAATTGGGCAAAATTCACTTAACAAATGTCTTACTTAGCAACAGAAATGTTGGGTTCCATTGTGGTCATAAATTGAGGACTACCTGAATAGATTTCTCCAAATTTGTCTACATTAAATAATCTTTATTTGCAGGATACTGGTTGTAGTGCTGCAACCTCCTTGCTCAGAATAAATTTGTACACAAAGAATAACTTATTTGATGTCTTTTTGGGGTTGCTTAGTGAATATATGTTAATATTATTTATAGGCAGACAAATTATATTGGAATGACCAATGAGATAACCAGAATATGAACATCTTGCATGTCATTATTTATCTAAATTTACTAGAGAAGTAAACGTGATTTTTTTTGAACATACAATTAAAAACAACCTGCAATGAGAGCAGTGGCTGTTTTGGTTAAGGAACAATTTGCTTTGCTATTTACTACTGCATTTGGTATACAGTGATCCTGGTTTATGGCCACTTATTCAGTGACCATTCAAGCTAAACAAGTGGTAATTATGATCAGTCCTCAAAGTTCTGGCTATCACATTGTCCCTATGGTCACTGGTACTTGGCTACCTCCAATTATGACATCACTGAATGAGCCATGGTCACATGATTACAATTTCCGAAGTTCTAAAGCAATCAATACTTGATTCATAATAAATGCATTCATGTAGGAAAGCAGTTTAGCTACAAATTTTATGCAAGAATTAGTAAAGATAATTTTCTAATTAAAGCATACAGCAAAATCAGTGACATTTGACCTAAGACATGTACATACAATAAAAAATATATTTAAAAACAGCTTATTTTACAGACTGCAACTTTCATAGCTTTTTTCCTCCTCTTAAAAAAAGGACTTAAATGGAAGAAAGAATGGACATTGTTTTTCACTGTTAAATTAAACTCTACCCAATTGTCACAAAGTAAAATTAATTGACAAAGGCAAAATCAGTATATAAGCAACTTGTTACCTAAACAATTTAAGCAGGGGTACCCCAAAAAGGCACTTTCTAAAATGAATGGACTACCCTGTAATTATGTCCAAAGGGCTAATGATCATGAAACCAAAGCATGATGTGGATTGCAGCTCCACATAATGCTTTTGATTCCAAATTCATTTAACATTAGCTTTATATTATGTTTTAAAACTTCACTCTGTATTTTCTATTATATAATTAGTTAAGCATTTTCTACCTAATTAAATAGAAAGGTAGAATATAAATCAGTTTAATAGATAAAGTCTATGGAAAGCATTAGGCTAAGAAAAAAAAAACTACATTAAATTTTTTTTAGAAAGCTATTACTTGTTGGGCTTCCCCTTTGCCTTCAAAAAGCATGCTTAAAAATGGGTTCATATGCAGATGGACATGCAACTTTAATTCTCTTCTTACTACAAAGAAATTATTCTCTTAAGGGATGTTCACGACAATGCTCATATGCAGGGGTGGGATTCAAAATTTTTAACAACCGGTTCTGTGGGTGTGGCTTAGTTTGTGGGCGTGGCTTGGTGGTCATGTTATTGGCTGGGCGTGGCCAACTCAATATCACTCACATCGAGGCACACATATCCTTGCCTGGCCTCTCATGACTGTGTGGATGCTGCAACAGTTGTAAGCATGAAAAATGGTCATAAGTCACTTTTTTCAGTGCCATTGTAACTTTGAACACTCCACACAAGCAAAGTACCAGCAAAGGAGGGGGAAAAAACTCAAGAGAAGTTCCAGAGACAGGAAGTCTAGTCCTGCCAAGAATGTAATAAGGGTTAATGGAGAGGCAGTTTCTGTCAGCAACACCAGAATGTTTCCTTCTTGCCTTCCTTACAGGATTATGCCAGTAATTTCCTCTAACAACCGGTTCTCCAAACTGCTTAGAATGTTAACAACTGGTTCTAGCAATAGAACCAGTTGTTAACCAATTGGGAACATATGAGCATCCCACCTCTGCTCATATGTTCCCAAGGTACTAAAGCCCTTAAAGTTTCTTAGTGGTCTTTGATACCTTTGATTACGGTATTGTGCTGATTTTCAGTGGTGAGTGGGGACCTCTCCTTCCCCACTATGAACTGGAACTACCCCCAATCCCTGCCCTCCACACAAGGTCCAGTAGGATATAACAGTCACTGATTATAATTGAGCATCCACTTGGCCTTTAAAAGGATTCTTCTTTGACCTAGGTCAGTGATAGCTAACCTTTTCGTCCTCGTGTGCTGAATGTGCACGCATGCATGCTTGTATGCATGCATGTGTGCCTGCACCCATAATGCAATGCCCATTCAACCCCCCTGCCCCCTGCATATGTGCATGCAACCCCCCATGTGTTGCACACTTCTGCGCATGCGTGCGTGTCTCCCGCGCATGCCCTGCACATGCATGACAGATACCTGACAATCAGCTGGCTGGCGGGAAGAACGCACACATGTGCAGTGGACCTGATCTGGGACAACGGCTCACATGCCAGAAGAAATGGCTCTGTGTGCGACTTCTGGCATGTGTGCCATAGGTTCGCCATCACGGACCTAGGTGATCCTTCGAATACTGGGTTAATCAACTGATCCAAAAAGGTGCAAAATTTTCAAGCATGGAGCTCACTACTAGTTTTAGACCCATCTGTTTTTCCAAGTTCAGCCTAGGCAAGAGAACTGTCCCTATGGGTTATATTATAATGAAGAGAAACCTTGTGAATGCTGTCTCAGAACTGAAAGAAAAAGCGGGGGAATAAGTGCAGTGTACTTACTGCAATGCTAATATGTTACTTACTGTCCAGGCAAGGTTCACAAACAGTTTGGTTTACTCCACAAGGTTGGGCAACTCCTTCCCCAGAGCTACAGGCTCGGCAGCATTCTCCGCTGGCGGTAAATTTCCCTGTGGAGCACTCTTCCTTGGTCCCTGCTGAGCCCTAGGGCAAGAGAAAAAGGAGGAACAGGTGATAAGACCACTTCTAACCCTGGACGCAAAGATACCCCCAAAGACACTGTTTTTTGCTACAGGCAAGCTCTAGGACAGTGGTAGTCAACCTGGTCTCTACCGCCCACTAGTGGGCGTTCCAGCTTTCATGGTGGGCGGTAGGGGTTTTGTCCCCTACTTTATAAATCACCATTACTGTGGAACCAGTGGGCGGTTAGAGAAAACTTTACTACTAACAGAGATACAAAAGTGGGTGGTAGGTATAGAAAGGTTGACTACCCCTGCTCTAGGACTTGGCTAAGAAGATTCTTCAGATTGGCAAATAAAAAAATAAAGCACTTTATGAATTGGATCATTGGTATGAAACCAAGGAAATGGACTTACCTGAAGACCTAATGGGCTTCATGCATCCCAACTGTCCAAAAAGGAAATTTCTCAAACTCTCTGTGCTGATTGTTTTCTTACAGATGTTTCATCACCTGAACTAGATAATATCTGGATAACATACTCAGAGCACTGATTATGCTATCTAGTTTGGGTAATGAAAAAAACCAAGCTCAGAGAACAGCAATGACCTCTCACCTCTATTTTCAGAGTTGCAATCTATTAAATAGATTCCTAGTGAACCTTCATTATTTCTTAGACAGGGATAAAGCTATAAATTCATATAATATGAGAGTCAGAAAATAATTACATAGGCATTTGAGTGAAGAGCCACAAAATTTCTATTTAGAATTGTTTTGTTGGAAAGTCATGGTGATTTGGTGAGAAGGACTAATTGTCTGATCTTATGTAATATAATTTTAATCAGATATTGAATTTATCTCAATTGATATTCCTACATTAGAAGCAAACAGAAACCCAATTAAAAGTCTACATTCTTCAAACAAATGCTATACAGATGTGCTGTCCTATAATTTTCACACTTCCCAGTTCAGTCAAGCCAGAGTCTTTTGTGAATTGTGGCCTCTGGCAATTGTACTACAACATATCTAGAAAACATCCATCTGAGGAAATCTGCTTTAGTTCTTTAGATCAACTAGGCCATTTTAAAGAGTGACCAGTCATGATCATTGGTGAAATGGTGATCTGGAAAGTACATGTAGCCAGCCTTGAATATATATATTGTATATATATATTGTAAATTTTATTTGAGTTTTCACAAAAAGAAAAGAAATACAATTAAAACATCTTTTTTGAAAGCAGCATAATCCCGGGTTACATTTCTTCGTACCGACACAAATTCAAGTTCATGCTCATTTTTATATTCTATTCCATATCTTATTCCTATTTTACATTTTCTACATGGCTTCTCCCCTCTTTTAATTTTTTCAATTTAATTTTATTTATTTCATCTCAATTCAAATCATTATATTTATATATTTTGTCTGCCCTGTTTCAATTGTCTATTATCTTTTCTCATTAAACAAAATTTCTCCTTTAGTTACTGATTGGAGTATGACATCTTTATTATGACGCCTTTATATCTTTCCCCTAAAGTTATAACACTCAATATAATACATAACTTCCATTCGGATTCTGCTTGGTGCATTCTTAAACTACACACAGTATTTTTGAAAAAAAAATTATAAATGTATATAATTAAAACAACATTCCATTCCAATTCAATTCTATCATTAATATTAATATTCATTAGAGTCTTAACATTTTTCACTTTACTTTTCAATTAAATATCATATTTCTATGGGAAAAATTATAAACTTTCCATAGTTTATCCCACCCTTCACTTATATTTTATAAAACATTGACTAATTAAAATGTTCCCATTCCTTCCTAATTCAATTTTCTCACTTATTTTATTTCATTTACTTTATTCACAAACATTTCACTAAATTACACTAACTATTTTATCCCTCATTCTAATCATATGTTGTTTCCAATTTTCTAAAGTTATTTCTATTACAAATATAACAATACAATTTTATGTACCTTTACAGAATCCCTTTTTCAGTTAAATTTTCACCCATTATCTCTAAATAGGTCCTGTTTCTTTATATCTCGCTCCGGACCTTTGTAACTTCCATTCCTTTCCTTCTTCCCTTTCTTCTTCTCTCTCCCCTTTTTACCCCTTTGTCTCTCTACCTCTATTTCCCTCTTCTGTATTCCCCTTTTCTGTTGCTTTCCAGTATTATACTTATTTTTCAAATTATTTTTCTTTTCTTTGGTTGTTTTTTAAGTCTTAAATTCTCCATCCTCTTTCCCCACTTTCCTTTTTCTTCCCCACATAGAGTTACTTGTTCATTAAAGATGGCTTCTTCTTTGTCCCAGTCTTCTTGTTTTGCAGTCTTTTCTTGTTATTTCTTGTACTTCCAGATTTCCATTTCTAAGAATTGAAAAACGAAGCCAAAAGAACCCTTCCCTTCTTGTGCATCTTCTTTGTACTTTTTAAGTTCCATTTTCAATTCATCCAAAAGTGATACCATTGTAGAAATTTTTAAACAACCACCTGATTGATTTTAGTCATTCAAATATAATAACCAAAAATCCAAAAGTCACTAAGTAATCCAAATACACACAAGCTGTTTCTTTTTGCTCTTTCTTTTTTTTTCTACTTTCTCTTCCCGGGGTTACTATTTAGTTGCAAAGTTTCAGTTAAAATGTATCTTTTAGAAGTCTTATTGAAATTTTACTTTAGATTCTTTTAAAGTCCAGGCAGTCTCCTCCCTCTTCTAGATCCTGCCCTTATTCTTTTTCTCTCCCTTCTTGCTTATAGAAGAAAAAGTTTTTAATGTCCAGAAATCTTTATTGTCCCTTTGGCATTTAGTTATATTTTCAGCTTAATTGCCTATTAATGCCAAAGCGGATTTTTCCAATTTCTTATTTAGGCCTCTCGGTTGTCAATATAAGGAAGGAGAGAGAAGGGGGAAAAAAGCCAAACCTTTCCCTTTTCACTTTCTTTCGCTGCTTCTGACTCTTCTTTGGGAGTGTTGTTATTTCTTGTAAAATTTAAATTCCAGGGTACCTTAGTTATTGCTTTTTCAACTTAGCCCAGTCAGCCAAAACTTTCACTTCTTATCTTCCTCCTGCACGTTCTTTTCCAGTTGAGTTCTTCTTTGAGGTGGCCATTTCTGACCACCGCTCCTACCGCCTTCGGGAAAGGGAGTAATGGCCAGCTGAGGAGGAGAGATGCAGCTTTCCTCGACCCTGCTGATGGTCTCCCCCCTCTTCACCACCTCTATGGGGTGGCTTAGCCCCAAAGCCAGCCGGCTTGGGGCGCTCCAGCGGCGAGCCCAGGCAGAAACCGCACACGATCGCAGATTCCTGTCTGTCATCGAAGCCCTTCAAACCGGAAGTCCAGCCTTGAATATTTTGAAGAGCAAACTTAGTGTATAAAATCCTGTGCAGCATCTACATCATTTCAATTTACAATTCCCACATTACATAAGAAGATTTTCGTGTAGGATATAATCACCAGCCTCAGAGTAACAATGTGAACTTGTCATTTTTATCTGAACAGGAGAGTATAACCTTAAATCATCATGTTGACATTCAGTGTCCAGAAGCCCATTCCCATTAAACTATAGTTTATTGCCATTAAACCATAAATGTTGACATGATAAAAAAAACACAGTTACAATAAACTATTTCTTTATTTGTTAAATGTCTATATCATCACAACGTAAATCTGGAAGTCTACTGGCAGCTAATGCAAGGTAAATGTGATTCTGGCACCTAGTACCAGTTGGTAAATAGACTACTCATTTTGCCTAAACTGTGGTATCTGGTAGATCATTAAAAACAGCCCCATGAGGATACATTGCAAAAATGATGCGAGTTTCAAAATCCTCTGAGTGCAGGAAAGCCTCAACAGGTGCCCCCTTTGAAGCCAAAAGATCTCCCAGACGCCTTCTAACTGCCCATGTAGCAATAGCCATTAGTCCAAGAGGACCCCCCAAGTTGCAAAGCTACTGCTTCAAGGGCAATGACACTCCCTCAAAAGACCACACAAGAGCCTTGATTAGCAAACAGCAGTTCTGTCTTCTTGGGTTCAACTTCACCCTATTTCTTCCAATCCAAGCCCCAACAACCTCCAGACATTGGAAAACATCACCAGCTGTTATACAAAACAGCCAAAGAAAGAATGTGAAAAAAGAACCAGCTGAGGGAGAAAAATAACTGGGAACAATCCAGAGGCACCATTTCAGAAAACTTTCATCCATGGCAGCATCACTGTCATATCCCCTGTCTTGAATTCAGCAGAAACACTTGAATGTATGGCTAAATACAAATTTTACTGCATTTTAAAATGATGCTGCTTTAGGGAGTCAATTGAATGAGAGCACACTTCTCTTATACCCAGGGGTGGGTTTCTACTGGTTCTGTCCACCTCTGTACAACCAGTAGTTCTGAAGAGCAGCAGACATAGAACCGGTTCTATGTCTGCTGATGTTTTTGCCCACCCGCCCACCTGGGCTCTTACCTGATCTTTATTTCCTGATTTTTCAACTTCAGTTGCCGAACGAGGCACAACTGCAGTCAAAAAACAAGAAAGAGGGCTGTTTCAAAGGCTGCTTCTCAGCACACAGTGTGCTAATGACCATTAACAGGCTCAGCTCACAGTGGGCAGGGAAGCTCGTAAATCCCAAACTGGTAGTTAACCCTGTCGTATCCCACCCCTGCTTATACCCTTGCAATTTAGGCTGGCTACTTCTTTTTCCTGCCCTTCCCATGACTGAACAGATATTTATTTATATATTTATCATGCCTAATATCAGGTAATAATTTAATGTTGACATAACTGACATTCCCTCCTAGAGAAATGTGAGGTCTCAATACATTCCTTTACCTTCCTCTTAAAAGCATCTGGAAGGATCAGGAACTATTCCTCATTCCTAATTCAGGGAGGCAGAAAGAAAATTTGTTTCCTTTCATGTTCCCTATTGCCATTGCAGAAGGCCTCCAGAATAAAGGCAATAGCAATGGGTGCCGTTTCCCCTTCCCTTTTTGGTTTCTATCACAGAATCCCCACCT